ATATGCAGTGTATTATTTGTTGAAACTGTACTTCCGATTTGATTTGAAACTGTCTCATTGCTATCTGTTTATCAATAAAACTTTGAGAAAAGAAAAGGAACAGCTGTTTACAGAATGACATTAAAAACAAACAAGTATGCACAGGACACATGGACATCTTTATAAAATGAGAATACACTCAAATATATTTCTGACCAGGTTAAATTATGATGATATTTTTTAGGTTTATAATTATGACAGGCTAGTCAGAACTTTTGTAGGTCAATTAGCAGAGATCTCTTACAAGAAGAATTTTGAAAAAGGTAAAAACCTCTTATTTATAGTTAATATATATGTTTAGGTTTAATGTAGTGTATCAGTTTTGAGTGGGAGCAAGCAAACTGGGCAGAGCATAATGATTAGGCACAGCACAATAGAGGAGCGCTGATATGTACAAGTATTGAACTTGTAAAGTGGCAATCAGGGAAACTGAGGTGTCTATTGTGGCTGTGCAGATTGTACAAATGGTTGAGGGGGGTGAGGAAGTGAGCAGCAGGCTTAACTGGAAAGGGCAGTGTGTTTGTTTGCTCCGTGGGCTGTTATTTTGTCTAGAGTTTGATGGATATCAGAGGGAGGGGCACACGGTGTTGGGGGGAAAATGTTAAAGTGAAAAACCTGAAGGAAAAAGACTGTAGTTATTAGGGAAGGGAGCAGCGAGGAATGTGAGGAGTGTAGGACCTACTGAAAGTCGAGAGGTCAGAAGGTGAAGCAGGGCTGCCGCTGAGGCCCTGGGAGGAGTCTTCAGTGGGGCTTGTGCAGCGGCTGCTGTGGTGGGCGCGGGTGCTCTGATGGCCACCTCTAACTGAGAGAAATTGTTAGGTGGGGGAGTTGTCCTGGGCTTAAGCAACTGTGGAGAGCGAGGTGGGGGTGAGAAGCAACAGTGGGGTGAGAGGCCATAGCAGGTGAAAGGAGGAGGGGGAAGGAAGCTCAGGAAACTTTATCAGAGAGTTGTGGCTGGGAGTTTGGGGTAGGGGAGCACAGACCAGACCAGCAGAGCTTCTCCTAGAGGATCCCACGAAGCAGAGGGAGGGGCCGGGCAGAAGGGCGCAAGCTAAGGGTATCTGGGCCTCTCTCTACTGTTCAGGGAGGGAGGGAGAGAGAAGAGAGGGAAGGATGCGTCCTCAAAGAGAAAAAGCAAATGCAGGGGATTTTCTGCCTTTTGCCACTGCAGTGACAGTTCTCTAAACTTTGGAGAATTAGTGGATCGAAAGATTTTTTTTTATAGGCCACTGGGTGTTACTGTCAAGCTTATTTTGTGGCCAAAATGTCAGTAAAAGATTAGTTGCTTAGATTTTATGACCTCTAGGAGGTCTAGGAAGCCAAGATTACGGGCAAGGCATCCTACCAGAGTGTTTTTTTTTTTTTTTTTTTTTTTTTTTTTTTTTTTAATGCTGGGAATGAGTGTTTCCCATGGTAGTGCTGATAGTGTACAAGTCACGGACTTGTAGTCAGTGGAGACTATTTGTCGAATTAAGGCCGAGTCAAACTTCAAAACAGGGAAGGCAGTCGTCACCCCCGTTTTTTGATAATGAAGCACACTGAGGGGGTTCCCGAGCCTGATGTAGCCAGTCATCATCGGGGGTCAGGCGGGAGTCCGTGGGAACAGGGACTGTGTTGCCTCTGAGCATCTTGTTAAGGAACATAAACACAGTCAGCTTCTGTCCGCTGGATGGGAGTGAGATTCAGACGCGGGCCCACGATATACTGAATTATGAGGGGAGTTGCTCGTCTTTGGCAGGATGCAAGGGTTTTGATCCTCTACCAGAGGACAGTAGAACAACTCCACCAGAAAACTGCTGGAAATCTTGCAGTGTGACTCAGCTCACCTGGAATGATTGAAGTGGACTGGTGTTTGATACAGGCTGGCAGTAGCAAATGGGCAGGATCCAAAGAAGTGGAGCTCGGCCGATAGGTAGGGAGCTCAGGACTCGGGGTTTGGCCCCCAGGAGCCTCACACACTGCCTATCTATATGAGTCATGGCACAAATATAACGGGTTTATTAGGCACCTGGCACAGCAGAGAAACAGGCAGATGGAAAAAGGAAAAGGGCCTTTATTTTCTTTGAGGGCATGGAGAAATTTTTGGGGAAGATAAGACATTCTCTGGAGTTGAACAAAAGGAGGCTGAGGTTTTTATGGCCTTTGTCAGGGGTGGGGTTTGAAGGGGATATTTATATATGCCTGAGGGAGCTGATTGGGGGTCTTCCCTGAGACTGCAGGAAGGGTGAAAGTAAATTGTATCCTGGACTGAGTTGGAGAAGAAGCAAGGAGGTGGTCTTGGGGAAGATGAGCTTTTGTTTTAAGGGCTTTGGTCATATTAGATGACCAGCATAATGATTTTAGCAATTCATACTAGGGCCAGAACCCATCAGGACCTAGAACACCTAGCCACTAATTAGGTACTGAATGACAGTGCTCCATCCCCAGCTTATGCCATGAATTCATAGAGAATGAGTTCCAGCAACTCAGGCTCTTTCCTGTTGGTTCTCAGAAAATGTGCTTCTCTCAGCGGGGCAGGCTGGAAGTTCAGTTGAACCTAGGCACCTTGCTCTTTGGCTTCCTTCTTTTTCTGATTATTTTCCTTGACATGTTTCGGAAAGCTATCTCAACTCTTTGAGTGTTTAATATGCTCAATACACACATTAATCCTCTTGGTAAGTGTCTTGCCCTTAACTTGCTTGTTTACAACAATGGCAACAGCATGCTGGATAACATTGTATACTCTTCCTGTTTTGTCATGATGACATTTATATGGAATTCCTTTTTGGACAGTGCACATTCCCTAGATGTCTACAATATCCACCCTTTCTGTAGATTCCCATGTATGTGGCTAAGAAACAACCCAGTGTTTTCTAAAAGGCCTAGAGAACATGCACCAGGGTCCCCTCCTCTTACCCTTTGTGTTTGTCATTTTGGCAAATTACTGGCAACCCTGTCTGAAATGGAGTTATTCATTTTTTGACAGGCTCAAACATTAACTGGACATTGCCATACCATAAGAACAAATAAAAGCTACCACTATCCACCCTTAACAATATTAAAGAGATTTACAATAATAAGACAGACACAAACACAAATCAAATAGTGAAATTCAGTAAATACCTGTTAAGAGCAATAATTATACAATATAAAAGAATTTAACAATAATAACATAGTCAATTAAACATCTAAAGATATCTCAAGATTAATAAAACTTAACATCAGTACTAATAAAAATGAACAGGGTATTGAAGAGAAAAATGAAAGAAGTAAAATCTTAAATGTTAAAGAGAGAGAGACAGAGAGAGACAGAGAAGAGGAGAGAAGAGGAGAGAAGAGAGTGAAATAAAGGATGTTATTTAGGAGTGAAAGAAAGTGAATTATATAAAAGTAACAGAAGTGGACAAACAAGGAAAGAAAAACATAGCAAAAAAAAAAAAGAGGGAGAAGGAGAAAGAGAAGGGGAGGGGAAGAGGAAGGGGAAGAAAAAGAACAAGAAGAAGAAGAAGAGAAAGAGGAAGAAGAAGAATCCAAAAAATTCTTCCAGCTGTCTTAGTGGTTTGTTTTCAGGGTTTGCAGTACTAGAACTCACCAGGTAGAAGGAAGGATAGTGGTTCACTAAGTCCTGTTTTGTTTCCACACTCCTGTTTCTGTTTATGAGTGCTGAGCCCCACGTCCTCTTTCCTTCTGAACGTGGCTAGCCAGTCCTATCCATCCTAGAGTTATATTCGCACCAACCACTCCCAGTTTCCATTTCCCTCTGTGCATCCCAAGCCATTGCTCTCTCAGTCTGACTTTATAGACTGAGGTTTGTGAGCTGCCCCCTACACTAGCTCCCAAAGACTCTCTGTCAGGCTGTGACAGCTGTCCAAGCTGAGGTGAGGTGTGTCCTTGATTATGTTGGCAGATAGAAGAAGCAGACAGATCACTGAGTACTGTGCTGGATATAGGAGTGGGAGTTTTGCAAGCAGTCTTCTGGGTTTAATGTACTTTCAGACCTAGCCTCCTCCAAAAACCATGCAATCAGACAGGCTGCATATTAATGCTGGTGTTTTCAACAACATTTTTTTTTAATTTTTATTTATTTGTGTGTGTGTGTGTGTGTGTGTGTGTGTGTTGTGTGTTTGGCCAGCTCAGCCCACCAGGGGGCGGGGCTGGCATGTGGTGCTGGGGGGATTGAACCGCGGTCGCTGTGCTTTGCTAAGCTTGTTCTAAATAGGTGCTTTAGACCACTGAGCCATCTCACCAGTCCCATTCACCAACATTTTAATCTCTCATTTTTTCCAATTCAATATTCATTTTCTTTCTCTCTTTGAATGTCATGGTCTCATACATACTTGATGAAGGAAGCCACCAAAAACTGAAGAAATTCAATGTGCTCAGTCAAAGTTTTGTCTGCTACCTTCTACTATCTGTGTAGATAGAATGGTTCCTACAGGCAATGTCTGGTTTTCTTGGAGCAATAAGTATTCAGGTGCATGCCCATCCTTGCTAGGAAAAAAAACTAGAGAAGCAGCCATATTCCATCAGTGTAATATTAATGAAACACATTATACGTTCCAGTCTTTATCCTTGAAAACCTGCAGTCCTATAGCTTCTGCCCCTTTGCTACCTTCATGCTTCTCCACTCTCTTCTAGACTCCTTAAAGGCTGCAGAGAAGAAAGACAAGTTGGAACTCTTCTTCAAGACACTATACATTATGGTTCCTTCAGTCTTTCTTTTCACTCTTCACCAGTGTCTCATTCAAAAACTCCAGTGAGATTTCTTCATCCAAAAACCTCCATAACAGCAGCAAACAGGAACTGCTATATGAAAATATGTCCTCAAATTCAGAAGACATACGTCAGATAGCTCCTCCTCTCTTTCTCTCTCTCTCTCTTTCTTTCTTTCTTTCTTTCTTTCTTTCTTTCTTTCTTTCTTTCTTCTCCTTCTCCTTCTCTTCCTCCTCCTCCTCCTCCTGCTCCTCGTCCTCGTCCTC